GTTGTTAAACGACTTCGTTTGAAAACTGTGAGTTTGATTAAACAAATAATGAGTGTATAGCTCTCTTGTTTCTAAATTCTGTCAATTTAGCCTGAAAACATTCAGAGTATGTGTGGATGTATTGTTCTTTAGTACTAGTCAGTGTCTGTATTATATATTATTATATCCTTTAATTCCTAGAGGAACATAGGGCTTCAGCCGCGCGTCTCCATTGCCTTCGGTTTTCTGCCAACTTTTTCACCCCGCCCCAAGTCTCCTGACATGCTTTAATCTCCTCCTCCCTCACATGACCTCCTCCAAGTCACCCTCGCACTGACGACCAGCTCGCCGCTTCCCTTTCGGGTTCCACACGAGCGCTTGTCTGGTGATGTCACTTGATGCTTTCCTCAGAGTACGGCCAATCCAATCTACCTCTGTTTCTTCCTACCTATTTGTTTCACAGTCGGTTTCTGGTTGGTTCGCTCATTTCCAGAGATCCCTGTTGCTTATGTTTTCTGGCCGGCCATCTGATCTTGAGTAGTATTGACCGAAGACAACTGTTGATGAAGGTCTGTAGTTTGTTTGAGATGCTCTTTATGACCCGCAGTGCAAGTCTCTGATCCATAAAGTGGCACTGACTTCACATTAGAGTTGAAAATCTGGAACTATTTTTCATTTTTATGCTGAGTGGTGCTGTTGACCTTCACACAGACTTGAGAATAATAAAAGCTTGTCTTGCTTTTCCGATTCTGGCTTGGATATCGTCGTTAGTTCCGCCTGTAGTTGAAACGAATGAGGTTGTTTCTTTCAGGTTCTTTCCATTTATGTTGGGTGATTGTTATCTGTCGTTGTTGTTACTGTCACTGTTGGCTAGGAATCTTCATCACCTCTGTTTTCTCTATGTTCACCTGAAGGATTTCCTATCTCCTCTGGATGCTTCTTTTGCCAACTTGCTGCTTTTCACTTGCATATCTCTCAGTTTGTGGGAAATCAGACTTATATCATCGGTGAAGTTAGATCCTCCAAGTTTTTTGTGTGAGTCCATTTTATGCCTGTTTCCTGATTGCACGTTTTCTGTCACATTATCCAATCTACTGCAATCAGGAAGATCATTGGCGATAGTAGGCAGACAGCCTTGTCTTACTCCCGTCTTCACTTCTTCGAAGGATTCCGTAGGTTTCCCGTTGTGGATTACTTGACATGCGGCATTGTCCTACAACTGTTGGATGAGATGTATAATTTTCGGTGGCACCCCGTAGTAGTAAAGTAGTTGCCAAATCACCTCTCGATCGACGCTTTCAAATGCCTTTTCAAAGTTGATGAAGTTGAGATGGAGCTTTGTTCAATGATGATCCGTAGTGTGGCGATTAGATCAATACATGACTTGTTTCTCCTGAATCCAGCTTGTTCCGGTCGAAGTTTTCCATCCAGGGCTTGTTTGATTCTCTCCAGGATGATGCGGCTTAGTATTATACTTCGAATGGACAGGAGCATAATTCCACGCCAGTTCTTGCATTGACTTAAGTCTCCTTTTTTTGGTAGTTTGAATAAGTATCCTTTCTTCCAATCTTCGGGTACTTTGCCTTCTTTCCACACCTTCTCCAGCAATTGCGTCATCAAGTCCACTGTTGTCTCTGGGTCCGAATCAGTGTCTGACTGAAGATTATTAACCTAGAATATTGATCTCTGTCATTCTTATGGTGAGTTTTATATTCTTGGAAATTATACTAATTAACTGCAGTGTGAAAAAGACCACAGTTACGCTGTACCATTCTTAGGATCTCTTAGTTTGAAACCATCACTTAACTTTTTATTTAACATCAGAAAAATGACACTTTTTGAATCCTAATCGCAGATGAGAAGCGAACATTTTGAAAATAAAGTATTCAAGGTGCTGGTTATTGATTAAATAATCAATTATCGCATGAAAATTAGTAACCTGAAGGTCCTAGTGTGTATCGCTGAAGAGTCTCAAGAAAAGGATAAAACAGCTGCCCAGTACACCATGGTTGTTTCCAATAATTTAAAATCAATACAATCCCTGCAAATCAACACGTGAAAATCAACCTGGTATTTTTTTATTGGCTAACTAAATAATGAGGTTACCTGAATTTCTAGTGGAGAGCTGTGATCCATGGAGTTCATCAGGTTGGGTGTGAGAACAGATACCCCACCCCACCCCCATGATAATGGCATCATATATCTTGAATTGGCAGAAGTTGGAATATCTATGGGTCAATGAATTCCGACTGCTCATGTGAGTGAATAATCAAGGGGCTTGGCATTCGTGACCTGAAGTTCTCGGATTCGATCCCTGATAGTGAGGTAGTGGGTGCTTACTGATGAAGAGTAAGTACTAAAGTAGGACAAAATAGCTGTGTAGAACACCCTGGTTTGCAATGATTCTCTAACTAGTAACAAACAAATGAAATGGCTACAGATGAACTCATAAAATAAAGAATCATTATATGGGGGACTTTTCATGTCCAAGATTGGACGTAGTGTCACGTTCTCTATGTTCACTTTTGGTAGACTATATAAACGGGGAATAATGGAACCGGAGGGTCATGTTTTCTCGAATAATTCAGAGCTGATAATCGATTCGTTCTTCATCTTCTTCAGCATTTGTGTTAGCTTTCCTTCAATTTGTTCCGTTTGATCTTTCTGTGAAGATATAAACCTGAAACTCGCGGATAGCCTCAAAGCCGCTGACACTTATTCACGTTTTCCTGCCACACCAGAAAAATTCGTCTTCAACTACTCTATTATATCATTGACTCCTGTCCAATTATAAGCCTTGTCGTCGGGTTCAAAATTCCCCGAGTAATAGCCGGCTAGCTACTTCAACAGACTTCTAATACACTGGCTCAAATTCACGACTTATAAACTTCACTATTCCATGTGAAATTCCGAAGGTATTCAAATCGCACACAATGTGCGATCTACTTGATACCATAAATACTAACTAAAAAATCGGGAATCACTATATACTGCTGATTGGTTTATACAAAAAGCTGTATACTACTCATGACCGCTTTTTATTTCACTTCAAACATTCGCAATACTGCCACACAGAAAAGGAACCACTGAAGCCTCATGATGAAGGATTTTAAGAAAAGCAGGAATAAAACTGACAATTAATGATCACTGACTCCTGTTCAATTGCAAGCCTTGTCGTCGGATCCGAAATTCTGTGATATTTCGACAAATCCGAGTGACTTGGATATTAAAGTCCAGTTTGAAGCATTGATCCAACAGACAAATGACCCTCCTGCGGTGTCCAACAAATCAAATGAACAATTCAAGTCTACAGTATTGAATAGCTGCCATCAGTACATCACTACGAAACCAAATGACAAAAAATTGATTTCAGCCGAGCACAGAAAGCAACTACGTGAGATCCTAAAGATCAAAGACTTGGTTCTGACACGCCCCGACAAAGGTGCTGGCATTTTCCTGATGGATCACCAAGACTACATCAATAAAATGTTATCAGTCTTGTCAGATGAAAACAAATTTTCAAAAGAAGATAGCCAGAAAGACCAAAAGGAGCAAACTGAAGGAAAGCTAACACAAATGCTGAAGAAGATGAAGAACGAATCGATTATCAGCTCTGAATTATTCGAGTAAATATGACCCTCCGGTTCCATTATTCCCCGTTTATATGGTCTGCCAAAAGTGCACAAAGAGAACGTGCCACTACGTCCAATCTTGGACATGACAAATTCTCCATATCATGCTACTGTCAAATGGCTTGCAGACATCCTCCTACCTATCAAAGAATCACTACTAGTGAAAACCAGCAACCGATCACAACAAAGGTTGTCACTGTGACGACAGTTACATCCTTCATGAAGAATTCAAATACGCTTACACTTTATTTTGAGGTTGAGATGGTCAAGTAGTTTTGTGTCTGGAAAGAGACAATATTCAGCTCAGAGAACATGACCAACTCAAAAAAGATTAATGTAATCTGGGACACAGAAGACTACATAAAGAAAGCAGAGGATTTACTCATCAAAGATAATAATGTATATCAACAGTTGACGGAAAACCCTTTGTAAACATTAAATAACAAAATCAAAACAACGTTAAATAAACTAACAAAATCAGGACAAATTACAAAACAAGATCAATTTCGAATGAAATCTAACAGACCTATTTTACTTCGATTCTATGGTAGACCAAAACTACACAAACCAAACATATTCCCTTACGACCAATGGTTTGACTATGAACAATAAATTGTGTTCGAAACGTCATCCAGTATACAATACTGTTTCGCTGTGTGATACATTTAATAATCGAACTAATATGGGACCAATGGTTTCGCTTCCAGGAACACCAAGATATAATCTATCTAAAGAACCTTTCAGAAAATTAAGTCACGTAACAGAATCATGCGACCATTCTATCAATTCGTCAATCCAATTTTTAGAGAAAATCAAAAACATTCAGGTAGAAGACAATGAAATAATGGTGTCCTTTGATGTCACAGCGTTATATCCTTCAATTAGTCCAAAACTAGCAACAGAAACTATGCAAAAATTACTCTATAGTGATGAAAACATAAAAACGCAGTGATGTTCAACTTGGATAGAACTCATAAAATTATGCCTTACAACATACTTCTAATTCAGTACTCAAATATATGAACAGATAAAAGGAACACCAATGGGATCATCACTCATATCAGGATTAATAGCTGAAGCCATCATCCAAAGATTAGAATTAATAGCTCGACCTATAATTCAACCAAAATCTGGACAGGTACGGTACGTTGATGATACATTATTTGTAATAAATAAGAGAAATGATTCAGAATATACGCATAAATTAACAAACAACATATTTGAAGACATCAAATTCACCACAAGAGAAAAAGAATTAGATAACAAAATCCCATTTTTAGATGTCTTAATCAGGAGAACCAACACGGGAAATTAAGAAACACAAGTATATAGAAAATCAAAGCACACACACTGATCAAATACTCAACTATACTAGCAATAATCCAATTACTCACTCACAAAAGAAACTGTGTGCAGACATTCTTTAGAGGAGTTCACAAACACATTGTAGCACTCCAGAATTGAAAAGAGTGGAAGACAAAAATACCTACAAATGGTCTTCAGGAGGAATGGTTATCCACAAAATTTCATCAAAAAGTGTTTAGAATCGAATCACAACTCACTAACAACAAGGAACCATCATCAAAGACCACAAGAAAATTCATCCTAACATGCATCAGAAATATCTTTGAAATAACAGCTAGAATACTGAAACCGTTTTATATAGATATATAGCACACAAGCCAACCAGTGAAATCACTTAATTCGATATTATGCAAACCGAAAGACCCATCCAACAGAAAAAGGAGATTAAATTGTTACCATTTACAAAATAAATTGCATGTGTGAACTGTAACAGGCATTACATCGGCCAAAGTTGGCGTCTTCTTCGAATCAGAATCCAAGAACACAAATCAGCTGCTAAAAGACATGATATATATTCTTTCATATCAATATATATAGATAATTATGGACATCAGTTTGATTGGGATAGTGTCGAAATCTTAGACAGAGGAAAAAACCAAAACTGTAGTCAGGAAATTCCTAGAAGCTTGGTACTCAAACGTACACGCAATAAATAAACAAGTTAATATGTAGACCAAATGTACTAACTAATAAAAGTAAATCATTTAACCAGAAAGTTTAAAATCCATCCAAGTCAATTGAAAATGGTCAATACATATGTCACGAAGATGGTTACCGGAAGACACAATCATATCACACATTGGGAAATTTAAATCAGTTCACTTTATGCTAAATATTGCGCTGAAGGAGGATGTTGTCCAGCAGGGGGACGACGAAATCTCCGCAACTAAACCAATCAGCTCAGAGAACAGTATTAATTGAAAAGAGAGGTATATTTTATATAATTACAAGTAAATGAAATCAATAAAATGGATGACAGTTGTTAGTATTAATCATAATGAGTGATAATCATTCATTCATGTGGAATAATTTTTATTACTGAAGAATATTCGTCCCTGTGTTTCTGACTTGTTTTTTTTTTGTAAAAACAGTTCCACTAATTTCGCATAAAAAAAGAACATAAAACTACATTTGATTAGTAGAAAAACCTGACCTTAACTCAATAGTATTATTATTAACGGGATAAAGTGTAATATATGTGTTTGTTATTTCTGTTTTTCCTCTGTTCTCCCATTGCTTGTCTCCGCCTGAATAATACCCTGACGTTTCCCCTCAGCAATATTTGATTTTGTCAAGGTAGAAGCAGACGAAGACGAATGTGGTTTAAAGGTGATTGGCAGACATTTTTGACCTTTTTTATTCGCGTATCCTTCAAATCTCTTAATAGCACTTGATACAGGCAGTGTAATAGTTTCACTTAAATTCTCAATATTGTCTACATGTTGTGATTGATGATGATGATGTTGGTGATAATTATTATTCCTGACGACTTCTGTACTATGATCACTGTTCCCCTCTGATGAAATAGAATTCATATTGTCAAGATTTTCTGGTTCACAATGAGAAGTTTCATGTGAATGACCGCCAGTATGCATATCACAGCCATCACCACCACCACTAAAATAAAAACGTATCATACGTTCACGTTCTTCAGCGAATTCTTGTTCTGCAAACTGAGAAAAATAGAAGAAAATTACAAAACTTTTTATTGGTTTTTGAGGATGTACTACTGTGTATGCACAGAAAATAAGTAGTACATATCATAATGTTTGGAATTTTATCTCGAAATGGTAATTTTTATTGTGTTTTACTATAGACTTCATCACGAAACAACACCATTTGTAAGTTTCTGAGAGTCGTCAGGAAGCACACTGGACAACTGTCTCGTATTAGAGAACCATTGGAAAACAACCTGGAAGTATTTGACAGTTGTTTCATCAGCCTAGTTTGGGACTCTTTAACAGTACGCACCCACCGCCACGGTGTGAATCAAAGACCTTCTGGTTACAAGGCGACCTAGCTCATAGACCATTAAGCCACTGGGACCCAATCCAATGGCCAGTGCATGAATTCCAACGTCTTCGTAAAATGACTACCCAAGTAACTACATACCTGAATAGGGACAATTGCTAGTGAGGATCAGATCGATTTTTAAGTATTTTTTTCCTTCACGTTCCCCAGTGGAACACAGGGCTTCAAGCTAGTGGGCTGAGGTTTCTGTAGCAGTCTTTATTTTATAGGATGGGGTTGTTAACCTCATGCCCAATCTTTCCTCTTTACCAGCATTATTTCTGGCTTAGCTAGGTAAAGGAGTGCGTCGGTGGCCGGGGATCGAACCGCAGACCGTGTGCATGGGCGGCGAGCATCCTAACCGTTATACCACCCACGCACAAATCAATTTTCAAGTATTGGTTTGTAGGTATTTTATTTATTGGTTAAAGGTTATCTGGGTTTCTAGTGGGAAGTCGTGACCAGTATGGTACAGCAGGCTGAGTGTTAAGACGAATTCTCGCCGAAGACACTGGCTAGTGGTCACACTATGTCGTGGATTGGCAGAAGTTGAAATTAGATGGCTAGAGGCAATCAGCAGGAAGCCTTGGACCTAGGTTTCGGGCTAGTTGGCACTCATCAGCAAGGCGTCTCTGCAACTTTGAAGGAACTCATGTCCCTTCTGAGATTCGAACCCACGTCACCGAGTGCTGCAGTCAGAGACGTTACTATTGAGCTATTCAGGCTTGTGCGTCGGTGGCACAGCGGTTAGGACGCTCGCCGACCATGCACATGGTCTGCGGTTCGATCCCCGGCCACCGACGCATCCCCTCACCTCATTGAGCCAGAAATAATGCTGGTAAAGAGGAAAGGTTGGGCATGAGGATAGCAACCCCATCCCGTAAAATAACCACCACTGCTACAGAAACTTCAAGCCACTAGCTTGAAGCCCTGTGTTCCACTGGGAATGTGAAGGAAAACATTTAACATTTATTCAGGCTCGCGAGTGACCTCCTGTAGGACCGTATCGGATATTTTTAGTTGCATACTAGTCAGTAACTAGTGTCATGTGCCTAGTCCTATCCTCACTGCAGACTGAATTCTATCAGTCAAGCTCGCAATGTGACCACCATGCTAGGTGGCTCGCTATTACGGTGCACTGTGAATTGTTGTTATTAGATGGTTGGAGGGAATCGATGCACTGGCTGGCCATTGGATCGGGTCCCAGTCACTTAATGGTCTGTGAGCTCACCAGCCTTGTAACCGGGTCTAGGACTCAAACCCAGTTAGTGAATACGTACTATTAATGGGTCCCAAACTAGGCTGATGAAACAGCTATCGAATACTCCCAGGTTTTCCAATGATTCTCTAACCAATGTCAGTTCATGATGAAATCCTCTAAGCAACCAATCAATCAAATCCCTGCAAAGCAACACTTGAATATTTCGTCTTACTTTTGAACTTTTCAGCAATGCACAACTACTACACAAACGTGTATTGAACCCTCGACTTTTAGCTTATGAGACCAAGCTAACTGAGCATTCAGCCACTTGGCCAGGGAATTCCGTGGCTCGTAAATTCAAACTTACGTCAATTCTGAATATCATGCTCTCTCCAACCAATACCTTCGATTAGAATTTGCTTCATCTTTACATGGTGGACCACAGTGGTCACAATAAATAGTAATATGAATGTTGCAGTTGCTCTACTTATCAACAGGATCAGTTTAACTCTCTAATAGATAGCAAGTATGGTATAGTGTAGTATTTAATAAGATATGTGCTGTGTATTAGTGAAGGGTCCTTAACTAGGACCCAAGAGAGAAGACTATTACTTTCTAGTAGCCATTTAAGGTTTCCTGAAAAAGGTTTTCCAACAACATGCTCTTTGGTGAGTTCAAAAGTCGATAGATATCCTTCTCATGTTAACTCCAACTGTGTATACAAATTTACGTGTATCTGCGGGAGCAGTTACATTGGGAGAACAGAAAGAAGGACACACCTCCGATTTTCTCAACATGTGCCGAAAAGCCTACGTCTCAATGGAATAAACTCTTATAGTAGTGCTATTACTAGACATCTCCTCGACACGGGTCATGAGGTAGAAATCGAGAAATCCTTTAAAACTATTGTGGTGAGAGCAGGCTGCTAGCCGATTGGTTGACACTAATCTACGTTAATGTCTAGGTCACTAATATGGGCCGTGAGAAAATATGAACAAGGCTGATTCAACAACCAATCACAGCAAAGTTAACGTGGCAAAATATGATTCGCAGATAGAGAACTCTATTTGTCAAGGAATCCCGAAACAACCAATCAGAAGCCTGCGTTTGTCTGCCTAACTTCTGATAAACAACCAATCAGATGACTGCGCTTGTCTACTTGCATAAGCTATAATAATGTATGTGAAATATATATAAATACGTGTTGATTTTCATAATAAACGATCTGTTGCCTGGCCCTTGTCTTCTGTTGTTACACTATCAATAGACAAAGGAGTTCAATTCTCCTCAAGTATACTGAAGCAATTTTTATCAAAGAAAGAAGCAGTTATTAGTCTTTCCTTGCCGTGGTAACTGAATGTCTTTATTCTTTCATCTGATTGTGTAATCTTTGTCTTTGACCTCACCCTCCCTTTTATAATCTGTAATTTTGCTTGTCTCTTGTTTATGTGGTTTGAGTTAAACCCAGTATATTGTTTACCTAATTTATTAGTCACTCTGTATCTAACGCATATTTCGTCTTTATTACGTAACTCCTTTACCATTGAATGCATACATTTATTTTGTTTAAACCTGAACTGCTTGTGTAAAAACTATATAAGCACAATTTTCTGAGCACTGTTCACTAATTGTGGAACGTTTTGTCAACTGACGACATGTAAAATTTGTAAGCACGTTAAATCTTTTCTGTATGTAAACCTCAAAATTTATTTAGGCTGTAAGCAGCTGATGAGAAGCCAACGAAATAAATGATGGTACCATGTTATTCTGCACAAACCACTGTTGTTCTTGCTCTATTCAGATTCCCGAATTGTGTTGACCTGTAGCGAAATCCATATTGTAACTCATCTAAATCCTTACAAAAAGCTAAAAAATAGATTTTATTCCATGTATAAGTTCATCAGAGTGTCTAGCAAGAATTCAGGTAGTTTCAACTGTTCCACTCCAATAGGGTGATATTTAAAATTATGTGAGTTAAACTTCTGTGATTGACATTCATCTTTTGTTGTACTTTTAATCATGTTATATGAGATTTCAAAAAACTTATCATCTTCATCGAACCTGATTTTCGTTACTTAAATTTCGTCACTATTAGGTATCATCAGATAGAGATCATGTGAAGTAATGATTGTGTAGCTGTTTCAGAATGATATCTGTGAGCGGTATCTCGAACTGGATGACAGGCACTCCTGTTAGATGCGATTATTATTATTGTTCTCCTGGGTTCCTAGTGGAACACAGGGTTCAACTGCACGTCTCCACTTGCTTCTATCTTCTGTTATACTTTTCACCTGCATCCATGGTGGTCCATACTGTTTCAACTCCTCTTCACACGATCTCCTCCATGTCACACTTGCACCGACGTCCCACTCGTCGCTTCCCTTTCGATTTGCACTCGAGCAATGGCCTGACGCACGCGCGATGTCACCCAGTGGCCTCCTCATTCAACGAGTGTCCAATCCATCTCCACTTTCTCCTGCATATTTGTTGGGCAGCGATTTGGTTCTTGTTTTGTTTCTTCCCATACTTTATTGTTAGTGATTCCTTCCGGCCCGGCCCGGCCATCTGATCTTCAGTAGAGAGTCAGTGAAGACAGTTGTTGGTTGATAAAGGTCTGCAACAGGCTGTTGGAAATATTCTTTGTGACGCGCCCGTCAAGTTTCTGATCCGTATAGAAGAGCTGACTTACTTGATGTTTGTATTGAAGATCCGAGCGAATTTTGTTGTTGATGCTGAGTGACGAAGATTTCTAGATTGGTTGTTTCAGGTCGATGAATGTGTTTCTCACCCGCCTTCTCGATTCTCGCTCGATTTGACATCCTCGTCCGCTCCTCCTGTAGTTGAGACAATGCTCCCTAGATAAGTGTCGAATGAAGTAACCTCTTTGAAATCCCTCCTCTTGATGGTGATTGGCGCTAGATGTTGCTGATGTTGTTGTTGTTGGTTATTTTCATCACCTCCGTCTTGTCTATGTTCACCTGGTGTCCTGTCTTCGCCGGCTGCTTCTTCGACCAGTTTGCCGGTTTTTGCTTGTGTACGGTCTTCGATTTTGTGTGACATCAAGCATAAATCATACACGCGCGAAATCCAGGTCTTCTAGGTTCTTCACATCGGTCCAGGATATCTCTGTCTTCTCGTTTCCCACTCACTATCTGACGCACAATTCAGTCAGTCCACCACAATTAGGAATATCATTGGTGATAGTAAGCACCCTTGTCCGACTCCTGTGTTTACTCCAAACGCCTCGCTGAGTTTTCCGTTGTGGATCACTTGACAAGTGCCGTTGTCGTACTGCTGTTGAATAAGGTTGATGAATATTTGGGGTACGCCGCAGTACTTGAGTAGTTTCCAAATTACTTCACGGTCAACGCTGTCGAAAGCCTTTTCAAAGTCATAAAGTTGAGGTAGAGTTTAGATTGCTATTCCATGCTTTGTTCGATGATGATGATGCGTAGAGTTGCAATTTCGTTGGTTGTGATATGTTTCTGATAATTTGTATACCGGTTTATAATATGCATTGAATTGCAAATGATGCTTGCCTTCGTGATGTCACTTATGGTAAAGGTAAGATATTATAATTCACCTAGGTTCTGAGTGCGCCGTTGGGTTTCACCAGCACATCTCTATTTTATTTGCCTCTCTGTAGTCTTTTCTGTTTGGTTTCACAATTACCAACAAGCCGCTTCCACTTCCTTCTCACATGACTTCCTCCACATTAAACTCAAAAAAAGGAGCAACTCATCGTTTCCCTTTTGGAATTCAACCTGAGGGCCTGGCATACAGCATCACTCAACATTCTCCAATTTCATTTCCAATTACTTCTGCATATTTGTTGAGTTATGAACTGTTGATTGGTTTTTCATCAGAGTTTCTTGTTCCTTATCCTTTCTATTCATCTCATCTTCTGTATGGAGTAAAGACAGCCCTCTATTCTGTGTTAGTTTTCACGTGTCCATAGATAGCCATTACATGTCGTATCTATTCTTCTTTCCTATACAAGCATACAGGTTTCCTTTAACAAAACGTTAGGAGATTTCCGTGTATTTCGGTGAGGCTACATAATGTCTCCGACTTTTTTCTGATGGCTGTAGTGAGGGTATCCGTTGTAGTTTCATCTTTCAATTTCTGGGTGTTAGGCTTGAATTATGTTCCATCTACAGATCCTTTGAAGACTTTCAACTTGATCTTCGAGATTCCTTACATATCTGGTCTACTCGTCAAATTTGTGTCGAGAAAGTCCTATCTTTACTTTCTTGAGATTCAAATGAAATTCATCCGATTTTTGGTGTGCACATCTGGTGAAATCCATGTCGTATTGTGTATATCTATTGTGTTTGCACACACTGCCTTTGATCACTAGATCATTAGTGGCGCAGACGCCTGTAAAGGATTCACAATTCTCATTTACTTCGGACCATTAGGAGTTATCGTTATCCCTGAGGAGATTAGTTCTCCCCCACCCCTGCATAAGAGCCTTAGATTTCGTTAGTGAAATCATAATAATTACTCACAAACACACACATACTGTGTGTGTGTGACAATTTTCGTCTGGATGACAGGATTACCAAAAAAAATCCATCAACACGACCTGCAATATGATAGGGAAGATTTGTAGCTGGAGGGTGGATGATTTTGATGTGGTTGTGTTCTTGGACCTGGCTAGTTCATTTGCGAAGCTTTCATCACCCAACCGCTAGATGAAATCTTCAGCGAATACTTCAATTTGAAGTGAGCTTTCAGATTTCTCCACGAATTTATTCAACGTCTCTCCTGATCGGTGACCAACTTGGATGTGATTGGTTGTGTTTGTGTGTTTTCACACCTTCTAGACTGCTACTTATATTGGAACTGATTGTTTCTTTGACTCGAACTGTGACCCTTTGTGTGTGAGGTTTCTTTCTTATCGGTTGATAAAATTTGTCTATCTCGATGTGTCTATTGATTGATGATTCACTGGAATACTAGGGAGGCTTCTAGAAATTCTTTAGCATTCTTGGTATTTCCTTTGTCTAATATTTGAATGTTGACTGTCCCAGTCGAATTGATGTCCGTGGTTGTCTGTATGTAGTGAGGCTATATGAGGGAGTGTATATCAAGTCTTTTGACGGCTAGCTTATGTTCGTGGATACGAAGACGAAGAACAGGGTAGTCCACTTTGGCCAATGGAGTGTTTTTTTCCGCAGTTGTTACAGTTTATTTTGTTGATGATGTTGGTCTTGTCTTCCTTCGCTAATGAGTCTTTTGATTTACATAGAATTGAGTGAAGTGACTTTGTTGGTTTGTGTACGACGTCAATTCCTAAAGGTTTGAAGAGTCTTGTAGTGATTTCCGAGATATCTTTTATATATGGTAGGGCGATTTTCTTTGTGCTTTCCTTGGTGGCTTTTGGTTTGATAGGTTGGCTTGGGGGTATATGTCTTCTGATGAGATTCCGTGGATATCCATTCATTTGGAAGACATCCATGAGATAATTTTCTTCAGTTTTTCTTGGGGTGGGAGTGCCACAATGCGTCCTTACCCTCATGACAACCACGGATATCAATTCGACCGGGAAACAACAAGAAGGCTAGAGAATTTTTAGAAGCTTCGCATTCCAGTGAATTGTCGATCAATAGACACATCAAGATAGACAAATTTTATCAACCGATAAGAAAGAAACCTCACACACAAAGGGTCACAGTTCGAGTCAAAGAAACAATCAGTTCCAATACAAGTAGCAGTCTAGAAGTTGTGAAAACACACAAAAACAACCAATCACATCCAAGTTGGTCACCGATCAGGAGAGATGATTAATAAACCCATGGAGAAATCTAAAAGTTCACTTCAACGCAAATTGAAGTATGCGTGCTGAAGATGTTGTCTGGTAGGGCGATGAAAGTTTCTCAAATTAACTATCCAGCTGCAAGAACACAACCATATCAAAAAGGACCTGTAATCCACGTTGTGGTCAAATAACTAGTATGCAGGAAGCATAGGTCAAAAGCTAACTCTCTATCCAATCATATCTCTAGCAGAAATGATTAAAATGCCAAGTAGAGTTATCACTGGAAATCTCTACTATCAGTGTGACAATAAAGTCAGTGAAAATAACAATAACAGCACCCAACTTACTCTCTGATTAGCTTCCAGTGTAACTGATAGATATGCTGAACGATTATCAACATCCATTTGACATCGTTTAACAGCTAAATTTTCACTTCTTGTCAAGGCCTGTAATTGTTCCATATGTGATTTCATTAAACTTTCTGTTAGTAAATGTTCTTGTTCCAGTATACTTGTCCATAAATCACTTTGACGTGTTGTTAACAAATTTAAAATTGTTTTTGGTAATGATTCATATGCCTAGAAGAGTTAATTTTTTTTAAAAAAAAGAAGTATTAGTATGGTGAGAACTGGCTGCTAGCCAAAAATTAGTGGACAGTAATTTACGTCAATGTTTACCTCCCCAATATTGGTCGTGAGAAAAATGAGAACAAAGACTTTGCGTAGGCGGATACAGTTAACATATAGATGATCTGATATTCAAAAAACAGTCACAAAGAGATGCAAGGTTAACTTTTAGTGAGAAACAAGCAATCAGAAGACTGTTTTTGTCAGCTAAAAATAATCAATAATAATGTACATTAAAATCTATAAATATTTGTTGATTTCGTAAATAAACTCTCTGTTGCCTGGCTCTTGTCTTCTGTTGTTACATTAGTAATAGCAGTGGTTTAAAACACTGAGCATGATTAGTCTTCAAGCGTTGATTCTCAGACATTCAACTGAACTCAAGTTAGGTTATGAACTGACATAAGTTAGAGAATCATTGAAAAACAAAGGGAGTAGTGGATAGCTCTTTCGTCTCACTTTACGACTTCTCAGCGGCATACACCCATGATCTAACTATCGATTAAACGGGACACCATCAGGTCACAAGGCGAACCAGTGAATTCTAAATTACACCACTTCGCGATGTATAGCCCCAATATCAGGCAGTGTCATCAGCGAGCATTTGTTCTTACACTCGACTTAATATAAATTAATAGCAAATAATTTCCATCAAACCCTCAAAGAATTTCGATATGGTTGTGTTCTCTGAGTTGGATAGTTAATTTGAGAAGCTTTTATTGCCCCACTACTAGGCAACATCTTCAGCACGCATACTTCAATTCGAGTTGAAGTGAGCTTTTGGATTTCTCCACGAGTTTATTAATCATCTCTCCTGGTGGGTGACCACCTTGGAGGTGATTGCTTGTTTCCGTGTGTTTTCGCACCTTCTAGTCTACTTGTATTGGAATTCAAGTGTTGGTTTTTAGGGATTTGATTGGCTACAGGATCTCATCATGGGCTGACATCAGTTAGAAAAATATTAGAAAAACACCTGAAAGTATTCGACAGCTGTTTCGTCCTAGTTTGGGGCTCTTCATTAGCATGTACCTACCGGGATTCAAACCCAGGACCTTCTGGGTACAAAGCGAGCTCGTATACGATCAAGCCATTGGGAGACGATCCAATGGCCAGCCCATGAATTCTAACTTCTGCAAATTCACGACATAGCTATGTCGCGAAGTTCCTGGGTTCGAATCCCAGTGGGTGGGTTCTGATGAAGAGTCTCAAGCTAGGACGAAACAGCTCTCCAGTACTCCCAGGTTTTCAAATGGTTCCCTAACTAATGTCAGCTCATGATGAAATCCTGTATTTGTATTGGATTTGATTGTTTCTTTGACTAGAACTGTGACCCTTTGTGTGTGAGGTTTCTTTCTCATCGGTTGATAAATTTCGTCTATCTCGATGTGTCTATTGATTGGTGATTCACTGGAATACTAGGGAGGCTTCTAGAAATTCTCTAGCATTCTTGGTGTTTCCTCTGTCTAATATTTGAATGTTGACTGTCCCAGTCGAATTGATGTCCGTGGTTGTCTGTATGTAGTGAGGCTATATGAGGGAGTGGATGTCGTGTCTTTTGACGGCTAGCTGATGTTTGTGGATTCGAAGACGAAGGTGACTTCAAATTGACATCCATTTGAAGTATGCGCTAAAGATGTGGCCCAGAGATGAGGCAATGAAAGCTTCGCAAATTAACTATCCGGCTCAGAGAACACAACCACATCAAAATCATCTACCTGATCTACAATTCTGCATAATATCTCCATAGAATTTTATCCTGTAGTCAACACTTTGTGTAGACGTAGGGATTCGATTGAATGGGATTGAACAGAACTAAACATGTGTTCAACGTTCCCCTTGCTTTCAATGTCAATTCGTGATGTAAACTTGAAACCACTGCGATACCTGTAAACTGGCATCGAAATTGAATCTATTCCCAATGTACTTACTGGTCATCGTATTCCGTGGGAATATGAAGCGGAAGTCTTTTATCCTTTCACCTTGCACCTTCATCTACACATATTTTTCCCAATTGTTATTTCTGTATTCGACTATTGAACATTTCTGGTGGTAGCAGTTACGTAAGCAGATATCGTGATACTATCTTGACTTTCATCACAGTACAATATTTGTTTTCAGCAGTGACATGATGCTTTTGAATAAGTTCTGGCTTTTAAAAAATTAGTATGGAAATCTATTACGCTTAGCGAAACTAATGCCAAAAAAAGTTAGTGCTCTAATATGGTTAAGAGACTTGCCGCTTACATTACCAAAGACTTTTTTGTTAACAGTTGCCCAGCCGGGCAGGTATCGAGACTACTAAAACCTTATCGCTCAACAAATATGCCATAGGGGAATAGAGATGGACTGAACAACCTTCTTGGGAAGACACGCTAGACAGAGAGTCGAGCGGTACCTAAATATGAAATGACGAACTGTGTCTGACTGAGTCTAAAGGCGACAAGGAGAAGATCATCCTACGAGGATATGAAAGCTTATGGACTGTAGAAAACCAAATGAAATGGTGAAGTGATCCCGAGAGAATAATAATGATCGAAAGGGTAGCTGTCGAGTTTTAAGTGTGTAGGCAAAAAATCGCCATTGAAATACCCTCAAAGAAGATAAAAAATGTACTTCTCCGAAAGAGGATGTATTCACCTTCCTTTCATTTTTAGTAGACCAAGAAAATAATAAGTTGTGAGGAGTTACTATAAATAATGAAAGATAAAATTTGATCAGATAGTCCCGTGGTCAAGACTCCTGTCTAACTAGAATTCTAGGCGAATGTATCTACATTAGCAGATTGTAAATTACCAGTAGATCAATTTTCAATTATATAATTTGAAAAATAGATTTTATTATTTTTTTCGAAGAGGAATATTTTTCTTCAACAAATAAAACTAAGCCCTACCTACAATTCAACCAAAAATCTGGACAGGTATGTTACGTTGATGATACATTATTTGTAATAAATAAGAGAAATGATTTAGAATATACCCATAAATTAACAAACAACATATTTGAAGACATCAAATTCACCTCAAAAGAAACACAATTAGATAACAAAATCCCATTTTTAGATGTCTCAATCAAGAGAATCAACACAGGAAATTAAGAAACACAAGTATATAAAAATCAAAGCACACACACACTGATCAAATACTCAACTAATACTAGCAATAATCCAATTACTCAATCACAAAAGAAACTGTGTGCAGACACTGTTCACAAGAGAATTCAAACACAGCACTGTAGCACTCCAGAATTGAAAAGAATGGAAGACAAAAATACCTACAAATGGTCTTCAAAAGGAATGGTTATCCACAAAATTTCATCAAAAAGTGTTTAAAATCGAATCACAACTCACTAACAACAAGGAACCATCATCAAAGACCAAAAGAAAATTCATCCTATCATACATGAAAAATATGTTTGAAATAACAGGTAGAATACTTAAACCGTTTGGTGTAGGTATACCACACAAGCCAGTCAAATCGTCTAATTTGATATTATGCACACCGAAAGACCCATCCAACAGAAAAAGGAGATTAAATTGTTACCATTTACAAAATAAACTGTATCAACTGTAACAGACATTACATCGGTCAACAAAGTGGGAGTTTCCTTCGAATTAGAATTCAAGAACACAAATCAGCTGCGAAAAGACATGATATATATTCTTTCATATCAATGTATGTGGATAATTATGGACATCAATTTGATCAGGATAATGTCGAAATCTTAGAGAAAGGAAACACCAAAAGTGTAGTCAGGGAATTCCTAGTGTGGTGAGAGCAGGCTGCTAGCCGATTGACAGAGTTAATTAGTAAATACGATCATCTGTTCACTGGAGATGGCGACCCATACGGTTATTGCGATAAGGTGAATCATGAAATTCCGTTAAGTGATCCGAAAGTAAGGTCATTTACAACGCGAAGAGTTCCATGTCATCTGGAAGGCGAAGTGGAGCGACAAGTGCAAGAGATGTTAAAAGATGACATTATTGAGGAAGCTGATAGCCCGTACAACTCTCCAGTGCTGTTAGTAAAAAAAGCGAATGGGAAGTATAGATTCTGTGTTGATTTTCGACAGTTAAACAGTATGACAGAGTTAAGACCGTGTGCCATGCCAACAGTGGTAGAAACTTTAGATCGCCTACAAGGTGCGAATGTGTTTTCGGTTCTCGATCTTCGCTCAGGATACTGGCAGATACCGATAAAACAAGGTGATAGAGATAAGACGGCTTTCATCGTGGGTCAGACACAATATCGATTTAAACGCATGCCGTTTGGACTAGCAGGTGCACCGTTTACGTTCAGACGACTGATGAAGCTATTACTTAGGAACTTGAAAAACGTGGAGGTTTATGGTGATGATCTCGTCATATACAGTCAAAACGAAAACGATCACGTCAACCATGTAGAAGCCGTGCTGCGACGCATCGAAGAGTTTGGACTACGCGTCAACAAAACCAAGTCCCAGATAGCCAAAAAGAATGTTACTCTGTTGGGACATAAAGTGGGAAATGGTGAGATTAAACCACTGCCGGAGAAAATTTTGACGATTAAAACGATTCCAGCCCCGAATTCAAAGAGAAAACTGAGACAATTCTTGGGTAGAGCAGCGTTTTATAGCCGCTTCGTGAAGAACTTCAATGAGATAGCAGCCCCTCTATACAGGCTACTAGGTGAGCCAAAGTTTGTTTGGTCGGAAGAATCGCAGAGGACATTCGACAGAATTAAACAGCTGCTCGACCACCAACAAATGACGCTAAAACTACCTGTGCCAGGAAGACAGTTCACAGTGTGCACAGATGCCAGTGACTACGCTATAGGTGCGGTCCTAAGACAGGACGAGGGAATCGTTGAGTATGCCAGTAGGGTTTTGACACTCGCAGAGAGAAAGTATTCAACGATAGAAAAAGAATGTTTAGCAATGGTATGGGCAGTCGACAAATGGAGACCTTATTTACT